CAAATTAAGAATAGGTTTCTGAAAACTCTTCATATACTCCTGTAATACGGAAGTGGAGTGTTTCAAATCTGACCTGACAATACGCCGGCCCTTTTTGCATACTTACATCAAGCATGATTCTTGTCCTCTATGTTCCACTTTGTTGCGTTTCTGACTTGTCTCTCCTAATGTTCGTCTGTTTTTAACTGGAGCTGATGTACACTGAAGCTAAGCTGGGCTTTGCTCCCTTTTATGCTGTTCTCAGTGCTATGCATATACATTGTTTATAGATTTTGCCATTTCAGCGAGAGTTACACTGTGCACTTTGTGGTTATTTCTAACTTCCTTGGTACTCCAGATTCTCATCAAGCATAGGAATGCCAGTAATGTGTAATGAAATTAGCTATTTGTTGCACTTTACGTAAAAGTATCTTAAGTCTTCAAATTATATAAACAGTACAATTTTCCCAGCTGTGGTTTGCGGTTGATACCGATACTTGCATATGTAGACATAAAGACTTGCTGCTTTACTGCGGAATTTGAGTTCTGTATTTTATTACTATTTTTGAGGGCTGCTTCACAGCTTCAGCAAAATTGCACCTCCGGTTACGATGTTTTTTTTACATGGAAACTGATTATTAATTTTTGGACTGTATTTTTAACTCGTACTTCTTGAAATATATTAAGACGTATTTTTAGCTCATTTTCAGTTTTAACGGTTGGCCGGTCTTAAACCCAAACTTACTCATTTTCTAATGTGTTTGTTTAATCCCTCTTTTCTTCAAACAAACTACCATTCAACAATTGACAACGAAAACTGCATTCCCAGAACTGCGCAATGAATGCACTGAAACTGTTTAAAACGTTGACAAACTACTTACCAGCAGGAAGTCTGTGCTGTATTTCCGTGTTTTGATGTTGTCACACTAATTATTTTACGTTGTTATAAACAGGTGTCTTGTCTCAAAGTTGATACTATGAATGCACCGCGTCGCGTTTCACATTTCTAATTTAACGTGCTAATTCTTACTCAGCATTGAGAATCCGATAAAATAACAGTCTTGTTTTAATATCTGAGTGCATGGAGACTCTGGATGGAATTCATTGTTCACAATAGTCTTCTCTCAGTTTTGAAATATTGCTGAAATTTCATCATGCAGCCTTCAAATTATGAAAATTTTCGTTTATTTCTTGAAAGACTATTTGGTGTGTGTAATTTTGCACCCATGGTTTTATGCAAAGTGAACGCAATTCATCTACACATTAAGTGCCTTGATCGATGCCTTAATCATTGCCAACACATGATGCATGGAAGATTTCAGGCTTTTAATCTTGAGTCGTAGCAGTCAATAAACATTTATCGTCAAAGTCAGTTCGCCAACACCCAAGTTTCACAAATCAAGCCCATTTCAAACCACCAAGTTGGCTGTTTGAAAATGTCAGTACTCTTAGGAATGTTTATTTTCATTTATCAAACAAGGAAGTGCTCATACGAAGTCTTGTAATTGAAAGTGAGTGTCAGCTAAAACATCAGTAACATGATAATAATGCAAGCATTAGACAAGAACAAAAAGCAGAAATACTGTATAACAGCAATGGATGTTTTAACAATACCTATAGCTTCCTTCGGTGAAGGTGCAAGAGACCTAATGTATCTTCATTCTGTCACACAGTTGTAATAAATCAAAGCTTACAAACGATGAATATCATCGTAAAGTAACGTGCCGCCAAAAAGCTATAAGGTCCATTAAGGTCCATTATCGTCTAAGACATCCGGCAGGAAGCTGATGGTCAACATGTTGACTGTTCGCTAAAACATATAGATGTTCGAAGACATTTGATTCCAAATTGATGGTGCATGGCATGTAGTCACGCAAGATGTGCAAATGTTTTTCGGAGGAAATAAAAGGTGCATCACTCCATCACCCAGAGACAAGAGGAGCACGTACTGATTTGAAATAAAGTAGAATCGTATAATTTCCACTTTTTCGTATAAAACGCGACACCTTAAAAGCGTTTTTACTTCATTTGAGGGATTACTGAGCAAAAGTAGAGAAGGAAGGATAAATCAAGACAAATCTGTGTGAAATCAAAACTCCAAACTTCTTGTACCATGAACTTCTTTGGAGTCTCTTGTAGGAACTCCTCTCAGGAGGTGGCAGCTGAATTTGAAGGAAAACAACGTTAGCATTTGTGGTTTATCGCGTTTACCTGCACTTTTCGAGAGTGTTCTGGCGTAGTTTTTTTTAACAGCATCTCCCAATAGTCTAATTTACGGTTAGGTGTTTGAACAGAAAAGGACTGAGGTTGAGTTTGACGGGAAACTACTATGCATAATAGGATGATACATTGGGTATATCTACATGATATGATGACATGATTAAGTTTTAAAAGCTTTATACTGGGAGTTTTACATCGTTCAAATGAGTCCATCAAATTCAGAAATAGTAGCATTCTCAGTATAACTCTTGATTACGGGTATACAAATTTTCATAAATTTAACCAGCTAGAGAACCTCAATTTTTTTTAATTGTTTGGAATGAATCACTGATTTTTTCGCGATCGTAAATTCAGGATATGTGGTCAATGATTTATTGCCTTCAAAATTTTCACAGAGAAAATCTTCATTTCTCGGAAATGGAGCGATCCAATAGCATTTCGCGGACATGCATATTGTTGCATTTCACGGTTGTAATATACGAAACCAAAATATCCATGAAATATCCTGAACAAAGTCAACACACACGATATTTACTTCTTTGTTCACTTTATTCAACCTCATTTCACGAAGCAAATGCATTTGTTTCAATGTTTCTACCTTTGGACTCAAACATCCTGAAGCTTATTGCTCCAACCATCAATAATTACATAATGTAAAGTTACAATTTAAAGACCAAATTACCGACAAAGCAATGATATCTCCTACCTAAAAAATTTAACTTCTATTTCGATACGTTCGAACTTGAACGTTGTCTTAACATAACCAGTTCTTAACTTGATCCATAACAGGAGGTCAGGTCTACGACTAGATAATAATAATAATTCAATGGTTTATTAAAAATAATAGTTAATGGTTTATTAACGTAAAAAGAGCCAGATTTCCTCGTGGAGTTTTAGTAGACCCTACATTTATATTCGTAACAATACACGTAGTTTACGTAGTGCCGTGTTCGGCAGGTATACCCAAACCACCACCACCTGTAACAATAGCGGACAGAATAACATGTACGAGAGTAAACCCTATGACGTAACTGCCAGTATCCACCAACCCTACTGCAACAAGACCTGTCGGAGTAGCTCAAATAGCCTTTTCCACCTGGACACACTCTGGAGATGTAAATTGGCAAGTACACCCATCGACGGCTTCGAGGTTTTGCTCCTGTTGAAAAGGGACACGGCGTTTTTCAAATCATAGAGAGACTTTGATAGTTTTCGTGTGGGGAAGTGTTTATGAGCATTTCGTATTACATCTCATAAATTTTGATATTTGAGGAGAAAAGCGATACTTCGGCTCGCTATGCATTGTATTTGGGGCTTAATCTATAGAGTATGAAAAAGGGTTCTTCATAACGGGAAACTTGTGGCTCAAGTTAAGGAGTGGAGTTTTTGGGAAGGGAGAATGGGGGGCAGTATTTGACTTACGCAGAATGGGGCAGCTGAGAGATGATCTCGCTAAAAATGGTTAGTACAACTGCGCCGTCTTTAACTACACCTCTTACCATCTGTTTCAGTCTCTTCGGATGCAGATGCGTTCTCCATGGTGTGGACTCGATATATCGGGTAGTCTGGACAGAAGTTTTTTAACTCTTCGCTCAGACTGGATCGATTTGTTATCTCACTGTCCACAGCCCACTTGCTGTCAATGGTAGTGGTCTCGTCACTAGAGTTTTTCTGCCAGAAAAAGGTTATTTCCCTCAGTTTACATTATTATAATCAGTATTCTTATAGCCGGGCCTTACATGAAATCTACATGACCGATATAAAATAGAGCATACCGCAAAGGAATTGGAAGACCTGAGGCTTCAATCCTCACGGGAACTCACATTCTTTAAGCTGGCTATCGAAACATATGTTTCTTGATGTATATCTTCGTTATCGTTTACTTTTAAGGGTACCGTTTCCGATAAGGATAACTGGGTTTTCACTGAACGGTCTTCAAGAAAATAACCAAACAGATTCCCAAATATGCAACAGTGGGTGCTCATAAAGTAGCTTACGTGTCCTTACCTCGGCGTGGTCAAGGTCATTTTCGAGCTTCTTTGGCGAAGGCAACTCGCGGGAAAGAGGAAGAAGATAGCAGATCTTTTTGTCTGGTAACATCAGCATACTCATATTCTGTGTTTAACGCAGACGAGAACGAAATGAGTTTCAATCACTGAAAGCGGAAATACTTTACGCAGCATTAAGGCGTGAATGTCCTTTGTTCCGGTTCCGCCGTTAAAGTTGTGTTTGCAAAATAGCGTTTTTATGATGCATATTTTGTTCCAACGGAAGCATAAAAACAACAAACCAAATTCACTTTACTTCACTCGAACCGTTCATTAGCAGGATACACAGACCGTCACGGAATGGTGACGTTAAAGTCAAACAAGAGACAAGTTTTCTTTAAGAATGTCCAAGTAAGGACGTAAGATATTCTAAAATGTGAAAAAGTGTCCGAATATCTACTTATGTGGTATACTCTTTGAACACTCCTAAAGGTATTGAATTAAACCAAGCATACAAAGTTATCCGAGCCTCACTTTTTGAGTTTGATTAAAATGTTAAAGATTTTTTAGGAAAAATAACCCCTACGATGACTAGTAAAGAATAAACTTACGGCTTTATCGTGTAGAGGACACGTCATAGTACACCTCACGATAGAACATCGCCTATTAGCCAATTGTTTCCATTGTCTTCCTCATTCCGGCTTTTGTCTTTTTTTGTTCTCTAATGTT